TTTTAATATATGTTTTTTAATTATTTATAGATTTTATCCATGGTTGGAGGGATCTGTGTTTTTTTTTTTTTATTATTGGGAGCCGCCCAGAGGCACCCGTTGGGGGAGATGGGCGGCATACAAGTTTGATAATAAACAAACAAACAAACAAACAAATAAATAAATATCTGAGAAAGTGAGGTCATGGGCAATGCCACGGGATGGACAGCTCTGAGTACTTCTGCAAAGTGTGCGCCTGAGACCTCTGCCCATTGCATCTAGAGACCTCCTTCAAAACCATTTGATGGAGTATAAATTTAGGAGTAAATTAGTTACATAACTTGTCTGGATGAATCCTGAAATTGTTCAGCTCATTCAAGGGTGAACATGAATCTGAAGTTCTGATTCCAAAGATGTTGACCACCAATGTGGACTCCAGAGGTGTGGGCCAGTAGCCTGAACCTCAAAAGAATATTAAAGGACTAGGGTTTGGGGTGAGTGCCAGAGGATCTCCAACATTTATTGCATTCTTGACTGTGTTGTCTGCTCTTACACGTTGTGCATCTGCTCTTGATGATTTGACCTCGGTCTTAATTTGCAGAAGATAGAACAGAATGGAAGAGCTCGTAATTTGGTTTCCTAGAACTGCAGCAAACAATTTTGCACTGTGAATCTATCCCTTTAGTAAAGATGAAGTTCATATTCTTCTGTTGCAATGTTATCTTTGATGCCACTCTGCTGTAAAGAGGAATCAAAGAAGGAACTTTTCCAATGCTTGAACGAAACTACTGGGAGGGACTGATGCTACAAGCACTCCCAGGTTCAGCTTATGGTCAACTCACTCACACACTCAGTTTGTTGAGGCAAGTGGATCTTGTAAGCCCCCTTTGCTTTCTACTTGGATTTTCCAGATAGGTGTGGCTAGAGCAGACAAGACACACAGCCCTGGTCAACAGCCAGGAAAGAATTAGGGATGCACACCAATCATTTTCAACCAAACACTGAGGCACACCAGGTTCTTTGGAATACATGGAGACCCTGTGAATTTAAAGTAACTGCAAAACTTTCCTGGCTACAATGTACATTTGCTCTTTTTCACATGCACACACACACTCATCCACACCTTCCCATGTCCTTCTCAACAAGGCTGCCAGGCACTAGCTAGAAGGATGGAAATCACCTAAATCTTGCTCCAAGGATGACTCAAGGAGTGAGCACCTTCAGGAACCCCTTTTATCCTCCAAAGTCCTTGCTTTGCTGATTCACAACACTGGCAGCTACTCTTGCCTTCTTAATTTACGAGTCTGGTAGCTGCTGATGGGCTTGTGTGCGTGTAGGGGTGGGGTTTCCATGTCCTGAGGCCCAACTTCCTTTGTCTGGTTCCGGTGACCTTTTTTCCTTTGTTTCCTGAAAGACTAGTTTCCTTTCCCCTAAAAGGATTTGTTAGACAAGATTCCAGCCTTTTTGTCCTCTCTGCTTACATGCCTCCTTCATCTTTAGTTATGGCAGCTTCAGCCTAGTTTCACACGGAAAACTCTGTTCTTGTATTAGGGAACATATCCACAGACTGTAATGCTAACAACGATTCTTGCATTTAAATATGGGCTGAGGAGTTTGCACATCCAGTGTTTAAGTTTGATGAAGGTAGCCAAGGTGTTCAGCTTTGCCATTGGGTTTTTATTGTAACCTCAACATTTTTTAAAATGAAATCTTTTTTGAATACTGCTCTCTTTGGACCTATAGAGAGAGTAAGTGCATATGGATTGATTGATTTAGGGCTGTCATGTGAGTATCAACTTTTAGTGGTATCATAGCTAGACTTTCTCCAGGATGATCTGGCCACAACCTGGCCCTTCATGTATCTCAGTGACACACATTGGCACTCTAATTGAGTCTATCCACCTTGCTGCTGGTCATCCTTTTCTCCTCTTTCTTCCTACTTTTGCTCAGGTCTGGCTAGTACATCAGTTGTAGCCTTATCTGGAGTGAGAGGAACTTGCCACAATAACTCATACTCTTATTACACTTCCCTGGACTATTTCAATGTATTGTATATGGGAATTTCTTGAAGAGCATTCAGCAGCTTCAGTTGGACTAGAATGGATTCACCCAGCTATTAGGGGGGTCAAAAGGGCCCTACATTGGCTCCCTATTAGCTTCTGAATGCAGTTCAAAGTGTTGGTTTTAACCTTTAAAGCCATACATGGCTTGGCAATACAGTACTTACAGGAACACTTTCTCGGCCCAATTTCAACCAACTCAGCTGAAACGTCTGGACAGAAGCGGTGTGTGTCCTGCCACTTTCATGAGATAAGGGGGATTGGGGCTCATAAGCGTGCCTTTTCAGTGGGGGCCTGTGCCCTTTCAGATACATTCAGCAGTAGATGATTTCCTTTGTTTGCGTTGTTGTGAGAAAACTGCTCACTTACATTAGAAACCAAAGCATTTGGAGATAGATGCAGCAAAGTATATTTTATTGGAATGAACTTACAACATTCTGGGTTCCTTGCCAGCATGGGAGAGAGCCCTGGGTGCAACAGATCTACAGCTTATATGTTTGGTCAATTACATTTGAAACAGAAAGGGAAAAGAACTAACACAGTTACCCTGCAATCCTTCTTCTGGAATGTATGAGAACTGCTGAAAGTCATTTTGATTTGAGACCAAATCAGATCAATCAATCAATCAATCAATCAATCAAACAATCAATATGCTCCTTCACTAAGCTAACTTTTTTTTTCTTTTTGATAGTCAAGAGGTATTTATCTACTTTCAATAGATTTTGCAAAGTTAATTAGAACAGACCAAGGGAGTATGTATTTGAAGTTGATAAAATAAAATTCAAAATAGAACACAGTACCATCAGTCAAAAAATAGATACCTTTGCCCTCAGTCCTCAAAAAGCTCAATCCACAATCACAAACTACAGCAGCAACTTTCTTCATCATTAGCAACAATCTTTCATGTCATCTAAAAGTTAGATGAAGCAACTGCTGACAGTTCATCTGCACTGGTTACATAAAATTTATGTATGTCATTCATTATTCTCATGATTTGATAGATTGTGAAAAAAATAAAGAATGTAATTATTTAAAAGAGGATGATCTTTTGCTCTTTTGCTTTTGTTATTTAGTGAAGGGGAAAATTGGAAGCCCCTTACCCTTTTTAGTGATTGGAGACTAGGCGCTCTGCTTTGAGCCCAGTTTATTATAAATGGGCAGGGGGAGAATACAAGGTTCTGCCTGTGTAGCAAGAGCAGGGAAGCAACTTATATAGTAATGCCACAAGCTTGCTCTGATAATGATGTCTCATAAAAACAGCACCCCTCTCTTGGCAACCCAGAGTTCCTTTTAACTTGTCGAATATTAGCAGACATATGGTCAGCAAGAGTCAGCACTTTGAGGGCCCACTTCACTGCTGAGCCACATGGTCTCATTTCCTGGGTCCCAGCTAGGGCAAAGGCCCTAAGGCTTGTATTGTCAAAGGCTTTCACAGCTGGAATACGATGGCTGATGTGGGTCTTCTGGGCTGTATGGCCGTGTTCTGGAAGTTTTGGTTCCTGACGTTTTGCCAGCATCTGTGACCGGCATCTTCAGAGGACAGGAGCATAGACAGGAGCAGTTCTCTCTGTGCCCAGGATGATGTGACCTTTTGTGGGTATTTATAGAGATTAGCGAGGGTGCCTGCAAGGGGGGGGGGGGTTCGGTTAACAAGTGGCTGCTTGTTTTGGTGATCTATGTATGTGTGTATCTTCATGGGGATTAGGCAGGGTTTTTTCTGTTGAGTTGTTAACAAGTGGCTGCTGAGGGTGATTACCATGTTCATTGTGTGAATTGTCTGTGCTCCTGTCCTCTGAAGATGCCGGTCACAGATGCTGGCAAAACGTTAGGAACTAAAACTTCCAGAACACAGCCACACAGCCCGGAAGACCCACATCAGCCATCGCCCTAAGGCTTGTTCAGGAAAACCAGCTAGATGCAGGTTCAGTCAAGTGTCTGAAGCTGGCAAGGATTGGCCTAAACTGGGGTTTACCCTTCATTGGTCAACATAATTCAAAGCTCAGAAAGAAGGAAGAAAAATTCTACAGAACACATAAAAGGAATCTACTTCCATGCGAACTTGTTTTATCTTTACAATAGACTAGTAAAAAAGCAGGGATTAAAATCTGGACCCCACATTAATTTTCATCATCAGATGCTCCTTTGTGTTCACGTCAGGTCTCAGGATAATGATGTAGCATTTGGGGACAAAGATGCAGCCCAGTAAGCCCAGGCTGGAGGCCAGGATGGAGAAGATCTGCACAGCCACCATATATTTCCCTTTCGTGCTTAGATAGGTGGGAACAAAGGAGATCCAAACACTGCAGAAAACCAACATGCTGAAGGTGATCAACTTGGCTTCATTGAAGCTCCCTGGCAGCTTTCGGGCCAGGAAAGCCACCAAGAAGCAGATGGTGGCCAGAAAAGATGCAGCCCAGTAAGCCCAGGCTGGAGGCCAGGATGGAGAAGATCTGCACAGCCACCATATATTTCCCTTTCGTGCTTAGATAGGTGGGAACAAAGGAGATCCAAACACTGCAGAAAACCAACATGCTGAAGGTGATCAACTTGGCTTCATTGAAGCTCCCTGGCAGCTTTCGGGCCAGGAAAGCCACCAAGAAGCAGATGGTGGCCAGAAAACCCATGTAGCCAAGGGCAGTGTAGAACATGGTGACGGAACCTTCATTGCACTGCAGCAGGATGTGCCCTGGTTGGGAATGCAGGTCAGAATCTGGGAATGGGGGAGAGATTCCCAGCCATATCATGCAGATGCCCACCTGAACTCCAGAGCAGGACAAGACAATGGAGTTGGCCAGAGTCTTCCCCAGCCATTTCCTCATCCTGCTGCCTGGCTTTGTGGCCAGAAATGCCACTACCACCATGACAGTCTTGGCCAGCAAGGAAGACACAGCAACTGAGAAAACAACACTGAAGGTGGTTTGTCGAAGAAGGCAATTCACTTTCTTGGGGTGACCGATGAATAGAAGAGAGGTCAAGAAGGAAAGGAGGAGGGAAACCAGGAGCAGATAGGTGAAGTCCCGGTTGTTGGCTTTGACTATGGGAGTTTCTTGGTATTTAATGAAGATTCCCAGAACAAAGGCAGTGGTTAGGGTCAAAGTAAGAGCACAGATGGCCAGGATGAGACCCAATGTTTCTTGGTAGGACAAAAAAGTTATAACTTTTGGGACACATCGATCTCGCTTCTTATTGGAATGCTGGTCATCTGGACACTTTTCACAATGGGCTGCATCTGAAAAACACAGAACATTTTTGCTTAAATTGCATCTACTCTATATTCATAAGTCTGCAGCTGTTGCATCACTATAAACTCAAATCAATCACAGCAACCTTATGTAAAGCATGCTTCTGGAGGTGATGGAATTTGAGTGGATATGCTAGACAGAGTATTGACAAGAATAGGTGGAGATCACATTCCCAGATCACATTATGGTGCATCTTGGATGGTTACAACACCATTTATGAAAGGTCAAAGGATTAAAGTAAGAAAAGTGTGTCATGCTGATGAATATGATTTCTCAGGAGAAAATAACGATGGGGGCCATTGCCCTTTGATGCCTATTGGAGGCCACAAAGAACCCAGGATACTTGTCCAGATGAGCTGTTGCTTTGATACAGCAGAGATCCTCAGAAGATCAGGCTCAGAAGGCTGTTTGGCACAGGAAACTGGCAGCATCAGCCACAAAATCAATCACAGACAAAACTACTGGACAGTCGTTGCTGAGATTTGGAAGGTCTCAGAGTAAATAATGTTTATCAGCTGCCCAGAAAACTACCCTGATGCATTTATGAAATCACGCATCTATGAAATGTTGCTTGATTTGAAGATGTTTTTCACCCTTTTTGTAGATTACCAAAATGAATAATCTTTTTGTCTCCAGAATGCTATGGCACTACTGTGGGCGGTCATTCACTTGATGTTTTTATTAAACAATAAAATTACTTTCTGTTGCATATTTGTTGCTTATTGGCTCTCCATAAAGGTATGATAGTCCAGATAAAACTTTCCATTTACTATTCTGCCATAAGACTGTACAAATCCTTTTAAAGAGGAGCCACAGAGCACCCTGGAGCAGCATGGAAGCACCTGCCTCTTTTCCCAGCCTTTCATGGCTGCATGGACATACATGCAGTGACAGCCAGAAGCCACTTCCAAAGCAGCCCTGCAGCCTGGAAAAAGATACAGCTGCTTTCATGATACCAAAAGAGATGTTTTGACTTTGCTCCTCTTCTGAAGGATTGTTGCGTCTGTGTTGTGTCAGTTAGGTAAAGAGTTAGGCAAACCATAGTTCCCCAGAGCGCAAGCTTCCAAACTCATCAAAACTGCCGTCGTGGTCTCCCGAATCAAAGCCACCATCTTTAGCTCAAGAGTAGATCACTTGAGGCTCTAAGGCTACAGACCACATCTTAAACCCTGGCATTTGGCCTTCAAAGCTCTTCCAATGGGGAGAAATAGTATTATGTCTAATAAATTATATTTAATTTGGATTCAGTTGAATTTAGCTTTTATCCTGACTCCACTCTTTTTTTTTTTAATGTGTGGTGGTTGGTATGTGCACTTCACTGGTGTGGGAATAGAAGGTTGTAGTTCTATTTCCACACCAGTGAAGTCCACATCCTGACCATGATTGCATTCCCAGGGAGAATCAGTGATCCTGCCTATAGTTATCTGTAGAATCTCAACATTCAGTTGAAATAAGAACTTTTTTTTTTCCCCCAGACCTGTACCAGCATGGTGGTAGCCAGTCTTTGAAAAAAAATAGTTGGACCCTTAAGGAATTTCCTTCATCTTGCTTTGGAATTAAGAGAAAAATATGCTAGTAATTAGGTATTATATTTGGAGGAAAGAGAATACTTACCTTCTTGTGTGGAAATCATTCCTTCTGTACATGGAGAACAGTCATAGCAGCAAACGGGTGCTCCCTCTCTCGTGAGCTTGGTGTATCCTGGGAGACAACTTTCAGTACATCTGGACAAAGGCACCTTCTAAACAGAAAGAAAATGTGTGGATGAGGGTGGGGGTGAGTTTACGTGGGTGGAATTGAAAGTTGGTCTGGGATCACACGAAGGACTAAATATAGAGCTAACATATCATGCTAAGTCATCAAATAGCTGTACACACCATCATCTTTGCATTGACACAGCCCAATGAAATGAAATCAACCAAATCTCATGACCACTTAAGGTAATGAATGAACTCAAGGCTTGAGCTGGGATTAATGCCCAGGTATTCCTGGCCCTTTCTGAACGAGTCTGGGCTACCTGTTTATGTGTACTTGTTTCATTGTGTTTCATTGTTTTTATTGTTTCTGAATTTTGTAAGCTGCCCAGGTCTAATAGAGAGGGCAGCTATCACATATTTAATAAATTAAATTAAATTAATTAAGCCAAAGTGGTAAAGAATCTCTGTAATCTAAAACCTACATGAGACCGCTGGGTGAGCTCATCGGTTGCCACGGGATGAGGTATCATCAGCATGCTGATGATACTCAATTGTACATCTCCTCCCCTGGCGACTTAAACAATGCTGTGGACATCCTATCTTGGTGTCTGGAGGCTGTGAGGATCTGGATGGGGAACAAGAGGCTTCACCTGAACCCTGGCAAGACTGAGTGGCTGTCAAGTCCACAAACTCCAAACCCCAATTCAGAAGAATTCTCATGAAACCAGGCCTGGTTCAGATAAATGCTCCTT